GTTCATTTATGGATCCCCTTTTGTAGATCTGTACTCTAAACCTCTAGTCTCCCTTGCAAACTATAGTGCACCCCAAAAGTCGACTTCTATCCATCCATCCATCCATGAAACGTCATCCCTAGGTTCATTCATTTCTAATGTAAACAATGTCACGAGCTATGCGCATTGCATACAGCGTGCGGTATGTACTTTGGACCCAGCGACAACGTCATCTTCTCGACATCATCGCAGCGTTGTCGCTTCTTCAACAACAACGCCAAGTTTAGCTGGCAAAACATAAATGTTATTGACAAACATGAAATTGGAGACAAAAGAATGAAACTGGAGCATATTTTTGTGTGAGTGTGTATTTTTCTCCGTTGTGTGTGTGTGTGTGTGTGTGTTGGCCCCACTCCCATAAGCTGAAACGTACATAGCAGCCACACACACACTCGCTCGTGAAAGAGTTATAAATCAGCGAAAAAAAAAATATCCACCTGGGTGGTAGGGGGCAGCCTTTGTTGACTAAGGTTTTGTCTCACTAAGGAGTTGTAAATGTAAATGTAAATATTCATAGTAGCCATTCATGGGGTATAGGAGAGAGTGGCCTTGTTTCCGAAATGCATTTGTGTTTTTTAAAGAATTTAAAATTTTCAAAATTATGAGAATACCAAAGGATATATAATTTTTATACCCTAAGCCATATGGCTAGAAAGGAAGGGGATATATATCATTTGATAAAACCCAAAACGTGCCTCATCGAAATAATGGTTACAGACTCCAGGTCTCTTTGGACAAAATGTGTTTCAGGGCATTTGAAATTGATCTGGCGATGTCCGTCCGTCTGTCTGGCTGGTTGGCTGGCTGGTGGGCACAATAACTCTCGAAGGGAGTTGCCGATTTGATCCAAACTTGGTGAAACGTAATATCATTAGCAAACTTAGATCGAGTTTGGAGATGGATAATATCGGTACACTTCTTATGGTACCTTCCCCACAAAATTTCGAAAATTTTGAATAAAATATGTTGCTTTTTGGGAGGAGAAAATATCAACCGATTTTGCTCCAACTTTGCAAGTCCTAATATTCGCATCAGTGCTAGGTCAAGTGCGAAAATGGACAATATCGGTACACTCCATCAGGTACCTCCCCCACAAAGGGTCAAAATTTTGAATAATTACGACTTATAAAATATGACATAAGAGTTCGATTGTCTTTAAATTATACACATCACAATATTTTTTTTTAACCCAATATCTGGTCCTCAATTCTTTTTCTATGAAAATGTGAAATGAAAACTTCTATAAAGGAATGAAATGTCAAATCTTGAATTTTTTAAAGGAAATATTTTTTATTTCATATTTTCACAGAACAAGAATTTAAGCCCTGGTGTGAATGTGGAAAATATCAGCTCACTCCTTCTGGTACCATCCCCACAAAGGGCCAAAATTCCGACTATCCATGAAGCTCATAAAACACTAAATTAACATCCGATTCCAAACTTGACAAATATCAATATTTCTATTAACGCCAGACCTGTTATAAAAATGGTAGAGATCGGACAATTTCTTCTGGTACCAAAACGCCCATAAAACGCGAAATAGTCATCCAACTCTCTTCAAATTTCACACATCGCATTCTATGAAGAAGGAATATATCGGCGCACTCCTTCTGGTACTATCTGATTCCATACAGACTTGGAAAATCTCAATATTTCCATCAACACAAGATATGTTATAAAGATGGTAGAAATCGGACCATTTCTTCTGAAACCTCCCCACAGTCAGTCAAAATTTTGAATAACACTCTCTTCAAATTTCACACATCCCATTATTTCTACTACCACAAGATCTGCTGTGAAGATGGGATATATCGGTCCACTCCTTCTGGTACCTTCCCCACATCCGATTCCATTCAGAGTTGGCACATCTCAATATTTCCATCAATGTACGGTTTATTATAAAGATGGTGGAGGTCGGACCATTCCTTCAGGTACCTGCCCCACCAAGGGTCGACATTTTGGATAACCAAAACGATCATAAAATGCGAAATATGCATCCGATTCTTTTCAAATTTCACATGTCCCAGTATTTCTTATACGACAAGATCTGCTACGAAAATTTAGTATATCGGCGCACTCCTTCTGGTACCTCCCCCACAAAGTGTCAAAGTACTGAATATCCACGAAGATCATAAAACTCGAAAATAACATCCGATTCCATTCAGACTTGGCACATCTCAATATTTCCATCAATGCACGGTCTATTATAAAGATGGTAAAGATCGGACCATTCCTTCAGGTACCTGCCCCACAATGAGTCGACATTTTGAATAACCAAAACGATCATAAAATCCGAAATATGCATCCTGCTTTTATTTCATACATCCCAGAATTTCTACTAACACAAGATCTACTGTGACGATGGAATATATCGGCGCACTCCTTCTGGTACCTTCCCCACAAAGGGTCAAAATTTTTAATATCCTTGTAGCTCATAAATCGCGAAAATAACATCCGATTCCATTCAGACTTGGCACACCTCAATATTTCCATCAATGCACGGTCTATTATAAAGATGGTAAAGATCGTACCATTCCTTCAGGTACTTCCCCCACGAAGGGTCACAATTTTGAATAAACAAAACGATCATAAAATCCGAAATAGGCATCCAACTCTCTTCAAGTTTCACACATTCCAGAATTTCCACTAACACAAGATCTGCTGTCACGATGAAATATATCGGTTCACTTCTTCTGGTACCTCCCACACAAAGGGTCAAATTTTTGAATATCTATGAAGCTCATAAAACGCGAAATTAACATCCGATTGCATTCGGGCTTGGCACATCTCAATATTTCCATCAATGCACGATCTATTAAAAATATGGTAGAAATCGGACCATTCCTTCAGGTACCTCCCCCACATAGGGTAAATTTTTTAAATAACCAAAACGATCATAAAATCCTAAAGAAGCATCCGGTTCTCTTCAAATTTCACACGTGTCATTATTTCTAATACCACAAAATTTGCTATCAAGATGAGATATATCGGCGCATTCCTTCTGATACCTACCCCACAAAGGCCAAAATTCCGAATATCCATGAAGCTCATAAAACGCGAAATTAACATTCGATTCCATTCAGACTTGGCACATCTCAATATTTCCATCAATGCACGGTCTATTATAAAGGTGGTAGAGATCGGTCCATTTCTTCTGGTACCTCCCTCACATAGGGTAAAAATTTTGAATAACCAAAACGATCATAAAATCCGAAATAGGCATCCGGTTCTCTTCAAGTTTCACACATCCCATTATTCCCACTAACACAAGATCTGCTGTGGCGATGTAATATATCGATTCACTTCTTCTGGTACCTCCCCCACAAACGGTCAAAATTTCGAATAACCATGAAGCTCATAAAACGCGAAATTTACATCCGATTCCATTCAAACTTGGCACATCTTAATATTTCCATCAACACAAGATCTGTTATAAAGATGGTGGAGATCGGACCATTCCTTCAGGTACCTCCCCCACATAGGGTAAAAATTTTGAATAAACAAAACGATCATAAAATCCGAAATAAGCATCCGGTTCTTTTCAAATTTCACACATCCCATTATTTCTATTAACACAAGATCTGCTGCGAAGATAGAATGTATCGGCGCACTCCTTCTGATACATTCACCCCCAAGACGTGAATTTAACATCCGATTCCATTGCGACTTGGTACATTTCAATATTTCCATCAACACAAGATCTGTTATAAAGATGGTAGAGATCGGACCATTTCTTCTGTTAGCTTGTGGACACCAGCCAAAGGTTTTCAAATTTTGACTATATCGACTATATCTGGCACATCACGCTTATTTGAATATTTTCTAAAAATTATCACGTATCTCATATAAAGTGAAGGAAGTAGTCGATATAGTCCAAACCTGGCACGTGGCAATATTTATACCATATTTACTAAAGTCCGATATGAAATGGACCATATTGGCCCATTCCTTCAGAACGAACTCCATAGAGGGTCAAACATTTGAATATTCATAACAGAAGTCAAAATATATTTAAATAATCGAATATTGGCTGAGGGTATACATCTGTGGAAAACCAACTAACAGGGATTTCTTGATCTTGATAAAAAAATTTCTTATAGAAACCAGAAGTTATCCTTATAAAACGCCATAATAAGGTATTCTTATAGAAGACCAGAAGAGATCTTATAATAGAAGATCAGAAGGCCCTTTAAAATACCAAAGGTCGTCTTATGAAAAATGGGACACCAACAGTTATTCTTATAGAAGACTATAAGGCCTTCTCATAGAAATCCAAATTGTCTTTCTATAGAAAAAATGGAAGATCTAAATAGTATCCAAAACGATCTTCTTGCCATAGAAGACCTCCAGCTGACATGCCAGAGGTTTTGTGTGAATTTCTTCAAATTCACCTTCAGAAGGTCTTCTGTCTATAGAAGGCTTATAAAAATCTATAACAGATTTTCCACCTGCAAAGCAAGTATCTAATATGATTACTGGAAAATAATTTCAATATTCCGCACACCTTTTTCAAAATACAAATTTAGATATTTTACTTTCCATATATTTTTTTTTTTTTAAATAAATCTCCAAATCCGCTCACATATTGCATTGCATTAGCTATCACTCGCCCAAAAAAGAAAAAAAAATCTCTCTTAATAAAAATTTCAAAACCATTATTATTATCGATTATTATATCAAAATTGGAAATTTCTCTCGAAATGCAATGGGCTTATGCAAAATCAACCATGCAATCCGAACGATTTGTTTTCCAATGAAATTCATTAAAATTCCAGTGGCAAACCAACAACGATTTCTATTTTTGTTACAGAAAAAAAAACAACAAATCTCGAAGCCCAAACGGCGGCACTTCAGACTCAATGTAAATTTTAAATTAAACAATTTCAATAACAGATACAACATTCATTTATTTATGCATTCAATAAACATTTTTCTTCTTCTTCTTTTCTTTTTTTCTCCAGATATCACCAAATAACGTAACCGCCAAGTAGTTGGTTCAGAGGCAGGCCCAACCATCATTTGAATTACAAGCATTGAGGCGGTCCAAGTCCACTTGCAGCCGATTTCCAATAGTCAAAGGCAAAGATCATCACCAGCCAAGTGAATTCAATAAATCTAAGAAACGACAACAACAGTAGGAAAGCGAACATAACTAAAATGGGTTCCGATTGCGGTGTTTGGTTTGGCAAATATGTGCTGTGCATATTTAATTTTGTATTTTTTGTAAGTAATCTCTTTGTATTATTACTTTCATATATTAAATATTATAATTATTTTTACAATTAAAAGAAGATCGGAAGGTTTTCTCTGGGGAGAACAGAAGTTCTTCTTTGGGAAGAACAGAAGGTCTTCTCATAGAAGACCAGAAGAAGGTCGTCTCCATAGAAGACCAGAAGGTCGTCTCCATAGAAGACCAGAAGGTCTTCTCCATAGAAGACCAGAAGAAGGTCTTCTCCATAGAAGACCAGAAGGTCTTCTCCATAGAAGACCAGAAGAAGGTCTTCTCCATAGAAGACCAGAAGAAGGTCTTCTCCATAGAAGACCAGAAGAAGGTCTTCTCCATAGAAGACCAGAAGAAGGTCTTCTCCTTAGAAGACCAGAAAGGTCTTCTCTTTAGAAGACCAGAAGGTCTTCCCCTTAGAAGACCAGAAAGGTCTTCTCCTTAGAAGACCAGAAAGGTCTTCTCCTTAGAAGACCAGAAAGGTCTTCTCCATAGAAGACCAGAAGGTCTTCTCCATAGAAGACCAGAAGGTCTTCTCCATAGAAGACCAGAAGGTCTTCTCCATAGAAGACCAGAAGGTCTTCTCCATAGAAGACCAGAAGGTCTTCTCCATAGAAGACCAGAAGGTCTTCTCCATAGAAGACCAGAAGGTCTTCTCCATAGAAGACCAGAAGGTCTTCTCCATAGAAGACCAGAAGGTCTTCTCATAGAATACCAGAAGGTCTTCCCGTAGAAGATTAGAAGGTCTTCTCATAGAATACCAGAAGGTCTTCTCATAGAAGACCAGAAGGTCTTCTCCCAGAAGACAAGAAGGTCTTCTCACAGAAGACCAGAAGGTCTTCTCATAGAAGACCAGAAGGTTTTTAATAAAGATAAGATGGTCTTCTCCTTAGAAGACCAGAAGGTCTTCTCCTTAGAAGACCAGAAAGTCTTCTCACAGAAGACCAGAAAGTCTTCTCACAGAAGACCCGAAGGTCTTCTCACAGAAGACCCAAAGGTCTTCTCATAGAAGGCCTTAAAGGTCTTCTCATAGAAGGCCTTAAAGGTCTTCTCATAGAAGACCACAAGGTCTTCTCATAGAATACCAGAAGAAGGTCTTCTCATAGAAGACCACAAGGTCTTCTCATAGAATACCAGAAGAAGGTCTTCTCATAGAAGACCAGAAGAAGGTCTTCTCATAGAAGACCAGAAGAAGATCTTCCCATAGTAGACCTTCTCATAGAAGACCAAAAGGTCTTCTCATAGAAGACCAGAAGGTATTCTCATAGAAGACCAGAAGGTCTTCTCATAGAAGGCCTAAGGTCTTCTAATAGAAAGTCTAAAGGTCTTCTCGTAGAAGACCAGGAGGTCTTCTCATAGAAGACCAGGAGGTCTTCTCATAGAAGACCAGAATGTCTTCTCATAGAAGACCAGCAGGTCTTCTCATAGAAGACCAGAAGGTCTTCTCCTTAGAAGACCAGAAGGTCTTCTCCTTAAAAGATCAGAAGGTCTTCTCATAGAAGGCCTTAAAGATCTTTTCATAGAAGGCCTTAAAGATCTTTTCATAGAAGGCCTTAAAGATCTTCTCATAAAAGACCAGGAGGTCTTCTCATAGAAGGCCTTAAAGATCTTCTCATAGAAGACCAGAAGGTCTTCTCATAAAAGACCAGAAGGTCTTCTCATAAAAGACCAGAAGGTCTTTTCCTTAGAAGACCAGAAGGTCTTCTCCTCAGAAGACCAGAAGGTCTTCTCATAGAAGGCCTTAAAGATCTTCTCATAGAAGACCAAAAGGTCTTCTAATAGAAGGCCTTAAAGATCTTCTCATAGAAGACCAGAAGATCTTCTCATAGAAGGCCTGAAGGTCTTTTCATTGAAGAGCAGAAAGGTCTTCTCATAGAAGACCAGAAAGGTCTTCTCATAGAAGACCAGAAAGGTCTTCTCATAGAAGACGTGAAGGGCTTCTCGTAGAAGACTAGAAGGTCTTCTCGTAGAAGATTAGAAGGTCTTCTCATAGAAGACACCAGATGGTGGTCTTTTCATAGAAGACACCAGATGGTGGTCTTCTCATAGAAGACACCAGATGGTGGTCTTCTCATAGAAGACACCAGATGGTGGTCTTCTCATAGAAGACACCAGATGGTGGTCTTCTCATAGAAGACACCAGATGGTGGTCTTCTCATAGAAGACACCAGATGGTGGTCTTCTCATAGAAGACCAGATGGTGGTCTTCTCATAGAAGACACCAGATGGTGGTCTTCTCATAGAAGACACCAGATGGTGGTCTTCTCATAGAAGACCTGAAGGTCTTCTTAAAGAAAACCAGACTTCCAGTATTTTCGATTTTTTCCATATAATTTCTATCCTCACATCCGGACACTTCTAATAAATACTAAATCAAAATGTCTCCCCGAAAATTATTTAATTAATTTCATAAACCTCATTTTTATATTTATGTCTGCTCCATAAAATTTATTGATTTCTTTTCTCTAATTCCTCTTCTTCTACCTTTTTTCTTCCACAGATCCTTGGCACGATAGTTCTGGGCACTGGCATATGGCTAGCCGTGGACAAGTCATCCTTAATCGCTCTATTCAAAATGGTTGAAAGTGAACACATCAATGTAAGTTACTCTATTATTCTATTAACAAAACAAAATGTAGAAGAAGAAGAACAAAGGAAAAGGACGAAAGGATATGCGTGAGTTCCAGATTTGAGGTTTTGATGATATTGGAAACATATATAAACAAATGTCCTGTGTGTGTGATAACTTCCGTGTGTTTTGGAGTATCCACAACAAATTCCATTTTCACTTCCATCGCCACTCGTATCGGCCGTACATCTACCTTTAAACTTTGTGCGACTCGATGTCCTGGCCATTAATTGAAACACCTTTTCTTCGAGGTCTGCATTGCGTGTTTATGACACTTTGTGTCGTTTTGTTTTCATTTCCTGGAAAAGTAGGTGACAGACTAAGGCCAACTGTGGCGTGGATATGATGTTACGTGTCTCATATATTTGTTATAGATATCAAAAAACTGATTAGATTTATTTTTATTGTTAATTATCCTTTACACGTTATGTCGCATTTGGATGAGGGGGGTGGGGGGGTGGGTGGTTGTTGTTTTGAAAAATATTAAACAATGAAGACATTTCAGGATATGTAGAAGAGATAAGGAAAATGTGAAAGGTCTTTCATGCATAGAAATCGATTTAAAAACAACTCCTCCAAGTGAAGAGCAACACTCAGGAGAATCATGGTCTAATAACGTCTTAATAACCCCTTCAAAAATCTACTTTTTAGACTCAGGGATGAAAACTTCTTAAAAATTCAATAAAACCCCAAGTTTTAGGCCCTGAACAAAAAAAAATCCTTAACATGTCCACTTTTACTTCTCTTGAGCAGAACATAGAAGAGGCCTCAACATTTCATTAACAATTGTACATTTTCTGTTCAGAAAAAAGATAAATCAAAAAGGTTTGAAAAAATGTTGTAACGAATTTTATCGCTAAGTTTCAGGAACAAATATATTAGAGGCTTGAACAACCTCTTTAAAATTTCCGCTTAATAGGTTTCGGAAGACTCGAAAATTTGTTTTATAACAAATCAATTTTGTTTTCGTGTTCTGTTACGGAAGAGGTTTCAAAAAGCCTTGAAAAATTTCTTAACTAATCTGCATTGTAACCTCAAGAAAAAGAAGGCTTGAAAATTACTTAAAAGAGGCATGAAAATGACTTGAAACACTTTTTTTAATAAGCGATGTTTTCTGCTCAGCATGAAAGCTTGAAAATATAGCTTTAAGATGGATTGAAGATGATTTGAAAATGAATTGAAATATTCCTTTAAAAATCCACGTTTTCTGCTCAGGATAAAGGCTTGAAAAAAGCTTGAAGAAGGCTTGAAAATGACTTGGAGAAAAATTCCTTTAAAAATCCACGTTTTTTTTGCTCTGGATGAAGGCTTGAAGAAGGTTTTGAAATTCCTTTAAAAATCCACGTTTTTTTGCTCTGGATGAAGGCTTGAAGAAGGTTTTGAAATTCCTTTAAAAATCCACGTTTTCTGCTCTGGATGAAGGCTAGAAGAAGGCTTTGAAATTTCTTTAAAAATCCCCGTTTTCTGCTCTGGATGAAGGCTTGAAGAAGGCTTTGAAATTCCTTTAAAAATCCACGTTTTCTGTTCTGGATGAAGGCTTGAAGAAGGCTTTGAAATTCCTTTAAAAATCCACGTTTTCTGCTACGGTTGCAGGCTAGAAAATACTTAAAGGAGGCTTGAAAATGACTTACAATATACTTTTAAAAATCCTCGTTTTCTGATGATGGCTTGAAAATTACTTAAAATATTCCTTTGGAAATCCACGTTTTTTGTTCAGGATGATGGCTTGAATATAGCTTGAAATATTCTTTTAAAAATCCGCGTTTTCTGAAAAGACTTGAAAAAAGCTTAAAGGAGGCTTGAAAATGTCTTGGAATATTCCATTGAAAGCCCACGTGAAATATTGTTTTAAAAATCCACGTATTTTTTGCTGAGGATGAAGGCATGATAATATCTTGAAGAAGGCTTGAATTATTATTTTAAATATCCAAAATTCTGCTCAGAAAGATGGCATGAAAATAGAATGAAGAAGGCTTGAAAATTACTTGTAATATTTCTTTAAAAAATCCACGTTTTCTGCTCAGGATGTAGGCTTGAAAATAACTTGAAGGAGGCTTAAAAATGGCTTGAAATATTCTTTTAAAAATCTACATTATCTGCTCAGGATGAAGGCTTGAAAATATAGCTTGAAGTAGGCATGAAAGTGGCTTGAAATATTCCATTAAAATCTTGGTTTATTTTGCTCAGCATAAAGGCTGGAATATATGGCTAGAAGATGGCTTGAAATGGACTTGAAATATTCATTTAAAAAATTCCATGTTTTCTGCTCAGGATTATGACTTGAAAATTAATAAAAAAATATTCCTTTGGAAATCCTAGTTTTTGGTTCAGGATGATGTCTTGAAAATAGCTTGAAATTTTTTTTTTTAAATCCACGTTTTCTGCTCAAGTTAAAGGCTTAAAAAAGCTTAAAAGAGGCTAGAATGACTTGGAATATTCTATTGAAAGTCCACGTGAAATATTCTTTTAAAAATCCAGGTTTTTTTTGCTGATGATAGCTTGAAAATAGCTTGATAAAAGCTTGAAAATGACTTGCAATATTCTTTTAAAAATCCACGTTTTTTGCTCAAGATTAAGTCTTGAAAAAAGCTTGAAGGAGACTTAAAAATGACTTGGAATATTCCTTTTGAAAACCCTTGTGAAAAATTCCTTTAAAAATCCACGTTTTCTGCTCAGATGAAGGCTTGAAAAAAGCTTGAAGAAGGCTTGAAAATGACTTGAAATATTTCTTTTGAAAACCACGTGAAAAATTCTTTTTGAAAACCTCCATAAAAAATTATTTTAAAAATCCACGTTTTCTGATCAGGAGAAGGCTTGAAAATAGCTTAAAGAAGGCTTGAAAATGACTTGAAATATATATATTTTTTTTTTTTCGAAAATCTACGTTTTTTCCACAGCATGAAGGCTTGAAAATATAGCTTGAAGATGGCTTGAAAATGACTTGAAATATTCTTTTAAAAATCCAGGTTTTCTGCTCAGGATGAAGACACGAAAATATAACTTGGGGGAGGCTTGAAATGACATGAAGTATTCTTTTAAAAATTGACTGTTTCTGCTCGGCATGAAGGCTAGAAAATGACTTGAAATATTATTTAACAAATACACGTTTTCTGCTCAGGATGAAGGCTTGAAATGGCTTGAAATATTTATTATTGAAATATTCTTATAAAATCCACGTTTTCTGCTCAGGGTGAAGGTTTAAAAATACAGCTTGAAGGAGGCTTGAAAATGACTTGAAATATGCATGAGAATCTGATGTTTATTTCGCATTTTATTAGAGACATAAATATTCAAAATGTTGACTAGTTGTAGAGGAGGCACCAGAAGGCGTGATCCGACATATTACATCTTCACACCTGGTTGTGTGTTGATAGAAATATTGGGATGTGATGTGAGTTTAAAAATAATCGGATGCTCATATCGCGTTTTAAAAGATTCATGGTTATTCAAAATTTTGACCCCTTCGTGGTAAAGGTATCAGAAGAAGTGATCCGATATTTATATCTTCATACCACATCGTGTGTTTTCGCATTTTATGCGAGATATAATTACTTAAATCTTACTTTGGACCAAGTTTAGATTCGGGAAAAGGTATTTTTTGTGGACTCGGGGAAAATAATTTGAAAGGGTTTCTAAAAAAGAAAAAAAGAGTTTGAATTTGCCTTCAAAAAGGTCTTTTGTATGGGAAAATATCTTTGTCCACATTGTAGAATCAAAGAGAAGAGGTCTAAAGTCTTGAAAATTTCTATTAAATGCTCAGCTTAGAAAATCTCGAAACACAATTTAAGGCATTTACTTTACAAACTTAGGACGAGCCCAGCAGGAGTGCATAGCTTTTAAAAAAATCTAAATTTATAAGGGCTTACAAATAAACGTGGATTTTTTAAAGAATATTTTTCCAAGGACCAAAGGACAAAGATTTGTTAAAGAATATTGTTCCAAAACCAAAGAACAAGGATTTTTTTAAAGAATATTTTTCCAAGGACCATCCGGCCAGTAAACGTGGATTTTTTAAAGAATATTTTTCCAAGGACCATCCGGCCAGTAAACGTGGATTTTTTGAAGAATATTTTGTTCAAGGACCAAAGGACAAGGATTTTTTTAAGATTTTTTTTCAAGGATCATCCGGCCAATGAACGTGGATTTTTTTAAGAATATTTTTTCAAGGACCAAAGGACGAGGATTTTTTAAAGAATATTTTTGCAAGGAACAAAGAACAAGGATTTTTTAAAGAATATTTTTCTAAGGACCATCCGACCAATAAACTTGGATTTTTAAAATATTATTTACCCGGAAAATCCCCAGGAATGTAGTACCAGGAAAACGACTTGAAAAGGTCTTGAAAAAGTATCAATAAATCCTCTTCCTTGTCTTAAAAAAGGATTGGAAAAAAAAACTTTTAAAAATCTGTAGACTTGAAAAATTATTTTAAAACCCATGATGCAGGGTGGGAAAAAAGACATGAAATTGGGGATTTTTTTCAAGCTGAAATATTAAATTTCCACCGCTTCCGTATTTCTTTACAACCCCCCCTGACCGTCTATCCGAAAGCCATCATATCTTGAACTTGTTGTGGTTGCTTAATGAAGATGTATGGGTCTCAACATTTATTGCAATTAAATTTTGTTTTGCAGTTTTGTTGTTGTTATTTGTTTGTTTGTTCCGTCGGTCATTATAACAGTTCTGAACAGCAAAAACAACAACAAGCAACAACATTAAAGTTCAAATTTCCGTACATTCACTACTTTGGCTGGCTGGCACTTCATCAAACTTTCCCAAGCAACGTTTTTGTCTTTCATAATTTTCTTTGTTCTTTTCCTTGTTCTTTAATCTTTACCAGCACCTCTCTTACTTCTGCTTCTGATGATTTTTCCACTTTTTTTCTATTATTTAATGATGTGTTTTTATTTATTTTCGCAATATTTTCTTTCTACTTTTATTTCATTCACCTCTCACTTTTTTTCTTTGCTACCTCTTTTAGGAATTCACCCAACCGCAGGTTATCGAACAAATGGCCTATGTTCTAATCGCCATCGGTGGCTTCATGTTTTTAATGAGTTTCCTGGGCTACTGCGGCGCCATACGGGAGTCAAGATGTTTGCTAACAACGGTAAGTAAATCATTAATGATGACATCGAACTTATTTTTTTTCATATTCTTAATTTTTTTTCTGTGGGAAAATATTGTGGGAAAAAGGGTTTAAAGAACGGAAAATCAATATTTTATTAATCAAGTTTTAATTCATCAAATCTAAACGGCAAAAGGGAAGAAATTTCTTCCAAGGACTATCCGACCAATGAACGTGGATTTTTTAAAGAATATTTTTCCAAGGATCATCCGACCAATAAACGCGGATCATTTTAAAGAATATTTTTCCAAGGACCAAAGGACAAATAAACGTGGATTTTTTAAAGAATATTTTTTCAAGGACTATCTGACCAATAACCATGGATTTTTTAAAGAATATTTTTTCAAGGACTATCTGACCAATAACCATGGATTTTTTAAAGAATATTTTTCCAAGGACCATACGACCGATAAACGCGGATTTTTTAAAGAATATTTTTCCAAGGACCATCTGACCAATAAACGTGGATTTTTTAAAGAATATTTTTCCAAGGACCAAAGGACAAATAAACCTGGATTTTTTTAAAGAATATTTTTCCAAGGACCATCCGACCAATAAACGTGGATTTTTTAAAGAATATTTTTCAAAGGACCATCCGACAAATAAACGTGGATTTTTTAAAGAATATTTTTCCAAGGACCATCCGACAAATAAACGTGGATTTTTTAAAAAATATTTTTCCAAGGACCATCCGACAAATAAACGTGGATTTTTTAAAAAATATTTTTCCAAGGACCATCCGACAAATAAACGTGGATTTTTTAAAAAATATTTTTCCAAGGACCAAAGGACAAATAAACGTGGATTTTTTAAAGAATATTTTTCCAAGGACCAAAGGACAAATAAACGTGGATTTTTTAAAGAATATTTTTCCAAGGACCAAAGGACAAATAAACCTGGATTTTTTAAAAAATATTTTTCCAAGGACTATCCGACAAATAAACGTGGATTTTTTAAAAAATATTTTTCCAAGGACCATCCGACCAATAAACGTGGATTTTTTTAAAGAATATTTTTCCAAGGACCATCCGACCAATAAACGTGGATTTTTTTTAAAAGAATATTTTTCCAAGAAGAATTGTTCAGTTTCCAACTTTTTAAGTTTAGAGCTCTTAATATTGAATCAGCTTGTCATTCTCTTACGTCTGCATAATATAAACGCCATAAATTCGCATGGTCTGTACTCCACTCCCCCATTGGAAAACAATTCTACATAAATATACCATTTAACTAATATTTGCACTAAATTCTCTTACGTACATATATATATAAATACGTATGTATTTCATTGAAGGCTTTGTTCCGGTATTTTATGAAACAAAAAAATGGCTTAACTTAACCTTAGCACAATTTTTGCCAAAGATGTTGACTCAGGTTTTTTTTTTGCTTCGATTATTTTTGGAAAACTTTTTTACTTCAAGACTTATCCACCAACAAATCTACAGACTTAATAACAAATAACACATAACAATAACAACAAAAAACTATGTCGTTGGCTGATGGTGAGAGGAAGCTTTAAAAGCTAAACATTGAATTTGTGTCTGGCCCGACATACAAATTAGCCCAGTTAAGGTCCAATTCTTTTTCGAAAAAAAAAATTTGGCTTGGTTTTAATTTTTGCATTACTGACCTTAGCCATGTGAAGTAATTTTTTTTTTTTTTGCATGCATTGCTTGGCATTTTTTCCAGTTTAATTATTTTGTTATGGATTAGTGAATTGTAGACAATTTCGGAATTGCTTTAATTTGTAATTCCTACAAATTATCTTGGCAGGCCCAACCAACAGCTGTGACGAAAAATTAAAACTAAATAATTTCATAAATATAAATGTAAATATATATATAAATGAAATGCTCTACTTTACGGCATTCATGGGTAGGTGATTTGGAAGAGATGAATTCGCAGATATAAGACAAAATCTATAGCTCCGGAATCATTGCATAATGGAGTTTAAAAATATCCCTAAAAATCCAATATTATGGCTCTGAGGGTTCGTGAAAAAAAATTGAAAAAACGACGATTACAGATCAGAAGCTTCTTGCTAAACTTCACGTCTATTTTCAAAATTACCTTGATAAAATAGTAAAACACCAGTAGAGAAAATCTTAAAGTCGGGCGGACCCTACACCACTTTCCTAATTTAGTAGAGCTCCGCATAACAATTAAAAGTTTTTATGAGAGAATTCAATCATACACGCTATGAATCTAATTATAATTTAATTGGTGCACAAATAATTTGAAATCGGATATATATGTCAGCTATATCCAAATCGGAACCGATCTCGATAAAATTTGGCAAAGATATTTCTGAGCTGTATTTGATATATTTCCCTGAATATCGTTGTTACGGAGTGCATATTACGGCTGTGGGTAACAAATCGGATGAACAATATATATGGGAGCTATAGCTGTATCTGAACCGATCTTCGCCAAATTTGACATCCTAGCTTCTAGACTCAATGCGGCCGTAATATATATGGGAGCTATATCCAAATCTGAACCGATCTCGATAAAATTTAGCAAAAGTATTTCTGAACTGTATTTGATATATTTCCCCAAATGTTCTTGTTACAGAGTGCTAATTACGGCTGCGGAGGATAAAAATAACAAGCTATATCTGAACCGATTTTGATCAAATTTGACATACTTATTTTCAGGCCTAATTTGGTTGTATGTGCAAAATTCCATACTATTCGGGCTGATATGGTGCACAACAAAAGGCAAATCGGACGAAGATATATATGGGAGCTATATCTAAATTTTGACCGATTATCTCCAATTTCAATAAGGTTCGTCCTTGGGCCAAACAAATGATTTGTGCAAAATTTCATCTGGATAGGGCAATAAATGCGAACTGTACTTTGTTTACAAAAATACATGGACAGTAGGAAAGTAAGTTTTATCCATGAAGATAGTTTTGGAAACGTCTTCCAAGAGTGAACTGTACTAAATAGTACTAAATTTGGAATATTTTGTTTTAGTGAGAGGGTTCCTGTTGGTGATTGGTTTGTGATAAATAGGAAATGGATACTAGAAGTGTACGAAAAGTACTAAATAGTACTATATTTGGTACAATTTGGTATTGGGTGATCTGGTAGTGCTTTAAAGTTGAAATTTGGTATTTGGGCTGTTCACGTGGAGATGGTTTAGGAAATGTGTACGATAATTGTACGAACAGTACTGAATGGTACTATATTTGGTATTGGGTGAAGGGAAAAGGCTGGAATCCTAAAAATTGAGCTATTGAGTTGGTTTTGGATATGTGTACTATAATGGTACGATTGAGTAAAGGAATAGAGCTGTAATCCTGAAATTTGGAATAGAGGTGGTTTTGGAAATTTGTACTACAATTATTCGATAAGTACAAGTTTGTACTAAATTGGGTATTGGGTGAAGGGATGGAGCTGGAATTCTAAAATTTGATATTGAGTTCCCTGTTGGTATCTAGAATTAAGATATGTGTACTATAATAGTACGAAAAGTACTAAATAGTACCAAATTTGATATTAGATAAAGGAATAGGGCTGAAAGTTGACTAAGATGTCACTGTTGGCATCTGTGGCTAAGATATGGAGGTGGTATTAGAAATGTGTCCTATTATTGTTCGAAATGTACTAAATTGTACTAAAATGGGTTTTGGGTAAAGTGGTAGAGGTGGAGTCCCGAATTTTGATATTGAAGTCTCTGTTAGTATCTGAAATTGATATATTGTGTTGGTTTTGGATATGTGTACTATAATAGTACGAAAAGGTCTAAATAGTACCAAGTTTGGTATTAGGTAAAGGAATAGAGCTGAAATTTGACATATATGTCACTGTAGGCATCTGTGGCTAAGATATGGAGGTGGTGCCCTATCATTGTTCGAAAAGTACCCAGTGGTACTAAAATGGTGATAGGGCTGGAATCCGCAAATTTTATATTGTCTAGAGTTGAGATCTGGTGGTGTTCTTTTGCATTGTTTGAAAAGTACTCAGTTTGGATCAATGAATGTTACTATATTTGGTATTGGTTTGAAATTCTGGTTGATTGGTTCTGAAATTTGATATTGAGGTCATTGTTGATTTCTAGGGTTTAAATTTGAAGCCGTTGAAAGTCCTTGAAAAAAATCTTTAAAAAATTCTCGTTTGTCGGTTGGATGGTCCTTGAAAAAATATTCTTTGGCGGATCTGACGGTTCCTGAATCCATGAATATACATTGTTGCGTACTTCTTCGATTTTTTCCAACTCTTACGAAATGTAATAACAAGTTTCTCTGGCAATCGTTCATTGTTGTTTTCTAGGGTTCTATATGAAGCCGTTAAAAGTCATTGAAAAAATATTTAAGAAATCCTATTCGTCGGTCGGTCCTTGAAAAAATATTCTTTGGCATATCTGAGGGTTCCTGAATCTATGAATATACATTGTTGCGTACTTCTTCGATTTTTTGTTTTCAACTCTTATAAAATGTAATAACACGTTTCTCTGCCGAACACTTCATCTGCCATTTAACCATTAATATTTGCCATAGATTTCCGTTTTCAAATAAAAACAACACAAAAATGCAGCTTCAATTAAAACGATGATTGGCTGACTGGCGACATTACACAAACCAGAAGAGCATGAACAACAACAACAACAAAACATCTACCAACAAACAAACAACCAACCTAAATGCATAATTTGTTTAATTAATTTACGCATTCGAAAGATAAACAAAATATGTTTATGGCAGATGTTCGACTGCTACGCTAGTGCGGCTGCTGCTGCTGCTGACAAATGTCAAATGAAATGCCAGTTGAAAGTTTTATGAGTATCTTTGTTGTCGGTGGTCAGTCAGCCAGCCAGCCAGCCAGTGGAGTGGTTGGTTGATCACGGCAATGTCTCGGCTGTGTCTTCCATTATTATTCGGACATACACGCGACTCTGCTTAGAGAAGTTACACACACAACAAGTGAACAATTTTCACTTTCATGTTTCGTTTTATTATTACTTTTATTTATTGT